TTTCCTCTCTCTGACCAAGATTTGGTCTCATGTCACCTGGGTGATCTGTCACACCTGTGGCTCCTGTTCTTTCCTGAGCTGTGCTTTTTTCTTTTCAGTGCTGACAGTCAAACTCGGCCTTGTGCATGCTTGGATGCACTCTTATCCTGAGCCTCCCCTCCAGTCCCTGAGCTGTGCTTCTTGCATCTGCTCATCCTTGATAAAGCCACTTAGCTGGGTTTTTTTTTCATCTGAAGCCCATAGCTTATGGCTAGCAAATTGGAATCCTCAGCCCCAGAGAAGCTTTTAATTAAAAAAAAAAAATTGGCAGAATCAGGAAACACAATACCTGCTTAGCAGTGCAGAGCTGGGAGAGGTATCTAGGAGTTTCTCCTTTTAGTGTTGTGGGGCAGGGGCAACTGAGAGTTGGCCCTAGGGCCTCACACATGCTAGGGAAGTGCTCTACAACTCACTGTAGTTCCCATCCCTTGTTGTCTGATTAATTTTATTTTGAAACAAGATCTTTTGCTAAATTGACCAGGCCGACCTTGAACTCGGGACCCTCCTGCCTTAGCCTCCTGAAAAACTGGGATTACAAGTGTGCGACATCATGGTTGGCACCTCCTAGTTTTTACTGTCTTGGTTTTACTTTATAAATAGGATTGAAAGAAGAGCATCTTGTTGTAGTTTCTAATTGTCAAGACCTATTGCTAAACCAAGATGCTCCTCAATCGGATTTTTATTTGTGTTCTTTCAGCTCTGTGGATAACACCTTCTAATTCTATAAAGGCTTCTTGGTTTTTTCCCCCCAAAGAATAAAATAGTTATAGCCCCCAAATACTCTGTTTACCTGCTCTAAACACTATTCAGTATTTTGTAGAACACTGCAATCTTATCCCAGAGTTGTCTCATAAATGTATTGTAAACAGACTTAATTTTGTTTGTTTGTTTGTTTTTGAGACCCTATCTCTATAAGTTTCACTTAAAAGATACACAAATAGAGGGCCGGGGATTTAGCTCAGTGGTTTCGCTGCCTGCTACATAAGCCCAAGGACCTGACTTTAATCTCCAGTACCAACCCCCCCCCCCAAAAGATACACAAATAGAAAGCTTTCATCCAGAGCTGCCTTTTTATTTTTGCTGACTATAATCTGAGGCAGCTGCAGGTCATCCAGAAGCCCCACAGGGGGCAGCACTAGAAATGGCTCTCCACTGGTCCTCTTCTGCAAGGGAGGAGCCCTGGGAGATGATGTTTTTCACCAGGCTTCACAGACCCCTGATTGAGATCAGACTTTTGTAGCAGTCTAGATGCTTGTTTGGTGGTGTCTTAGCCATCCTGAGGAGTGCATTCTAGTTTTCTTGATAATAAAACATACATGAAATTTTGTCCAAGCTGTACCTCCTCCTACAAGCCAGCCTGCCCATACCTCATGTCCAGGTGCCCTTAGCATTTGAGGTGAAGTTCTGTTATACACTTAGGCTGTGGCTCTCTGAAAGTCAGTGCATCACAGAACTTTGTCTCGAAAGCTTTCTCGCAGCTACCCATTTGGGAAGTGGGAGGGAAGAATAGACCTTTTAAATCTTTTGAATATGGCCCTAAGCTTGTAGGGTCTTTCTTAATAATCAACCTGTAATGTGTTACAAGGTCAAGCTAGTCCATTGTCCAGGAAGCCTATTTCCTAATTTTTTTGTGCTGGGGATCGAACTTAGGATCTTGCATTTGCAAGGCAGGCAGCGGAACCACTGAGCTAAATCCCCAGCCTCTAAGGAAGCCTATTTCTCAGTAGCTGGGAGTTATTTATAAACTTGCCCTTTGCAAAAACTTAAAATGAAATTACATTACCAGAGTAATGGCTTCTGGGGCTTTAAACTGGCTGCTTTTATAGCATGAGGGGCACTCCAGGCTCTCCCCACTCCCAAGAGGAAAAGCCCCACACTGAAGTGGACCCAGCTGCAGTCAGAAGGTGGCAGGAGAAGGAGAGGAGAAGCTGTTGGCTGCAGTGGTAGCAGAGTGGGGCATTTAGCTCATGCCTAGTTGTTCTCCTTAGGAAGTGTGAAGAGGCCAGCCTTTGCTGTAATACCATCTTTGCTTTTCCACAGCTCAGAGACATCAATTCTGGTCTTTCTCCTTGCCTCCCTCAGCCTGTCTTTTTTCCTACCCAGGAAGACCAGTGCTCTGGGTTTTTGTTGTTGTTTCCCAGTATTGGGAATTGAACCCAGGGACTTTGCACTGAGCTATATCTCCAGTCTAGCCCTTTTTAAAAAAAAAAAAACATTTGAGGCAGCTCTCCCGGCCTTGTTGCCCAAGTTGGACTGGAAGTTATGGTCCTCCTGCCTCAGCCTCCCAAAGTGCTGGGATTACATGCATGGACCACCACACTTGGCTTTTGTTTCTTTTCATCTTCTAGGAAGCCAATGACAAGAGCCAGGAGCAGAATCCAGAGATGTTTCTTTTTTGTCTGCACGGCTGTTAGGCACACATACCATCTTGGTCACTAGAACATTGGCTCCCCCAGTTGGTTGGTAGCCATTAGAGCTTTTCTTTTCTTTTCTTTTTTTTTTGCAGTACCAGGGATCGAACTCAGGACCTTGTACTTGCAAGGCAGGCAACAGCGCCACTGAGCTAAGTCCCTGGCCCAGCTTTTCTTTTCTTTAGGTTCCTGTTCTTTCTAGGGATGCCAGACTGGCTGGAAAAACTGGTCACTGTTGCCAGATCCAGATTAAACCAGTGGGGTATTCCCTAAGGTTGCTGTGAATGTGGGTAGAGGGACAAAACCAAGGATTTCCAGGGAGAAGGTAGTAGAAAAAATTATTTCTTCTAAATTTCCATTCATTTGGATCTTTTTTCCTCCTTTAAGGAAACTCACTCCTGTTGGTGTCTCCCCTTTAATAAATTGAGACCCGAGTTGCTGTAAAACTGAGCCGGCTTTATGGGAAGATCTTTATTTTAAGAATTCTTTTTATTAGTACATGTTTTGCAGTACATTCATAATGATCACATGTATCGTGGGGAGTTGGTTCGTGTACAGAACACATCTTAATTCTTTTTATATAGGACAATCTTTCTGTGAGGAACTAGGAATTAGGAAGTCTGTTTCTGTTTATGAACTTTTGGACTAGATTCTAGAGGACTTTCCTCTGCTTGACAACAGAGTTCCTTATTTGGAGAGGGGAGTTCTTTCTGCCCTGTTTATTCAGAGTGCAGTGTATACAGGGTGCCCACTCTGAGGGATGTATTGGAGGAGAGGTATGGTTGGTAGAAATATCATCCAAAATGGTCACATTAGAAAGTCTACTTAGGTGTGGAAATCTAATGATTACAGGTCCCCTAAATACTTACTACATCAAGAGATTTTACCTTATTCTCATACTTCTTATTTTCTTGATTATTGAACATATATTGAGAGTTTAGTATGTGTCAGACATTGTTCTGGACACTCGAGTTATATCAGTGTGCAAAACACAAAAATTGCTGCCCCCAAGAATCCAAGTGGGGAAAGCTTATGTTCTTCATTGCCCTGTCAAAAGACTGAGTTCTCTTTATTCCCATTCTTAATCCCCATTCCCCCCTCCTGAGTTAGGATCCATTTTTCCATTTACCTTCTGAAGTCTCATGGGCCAGTTTACCTTTGTACATCCTGGCAATGATTCTTTCCTCTTCACCCTGGGATCTTTGTTAAACACGTTCTAGGAAGAATATCTTTGGCTCCTTTGAGGACTATGAGTTTCCTAAGTAAGGCCAGGAGCAAGGTAGCTGAGCGACAGTCTTGTCTTACAGCACAGGCGACGCCATGGTGAGTAGTGATGATTATAAAGTCAAGGAATGTGAAGTGGCAGACACCTTCCACCCATAAATCACTATCCCCATCTTTTTTTTTTTTAATTTAAATTTTCTGAGACAAGGTCTTGCTCTATATAGTTCAGGCTGGCCTTCAACTCACTGTGCAGCCCAGGCTGGCCTCGAACTTGCAGCATTCCTCCTGCCTCAGCCTCCTGAGTGCTGGGATTACAGGTATGCACCACCACACCCAGGCCCCTGTCTTATTTTCCCTTTCATAGTTATCTGGTTCCCTAGAAGCAAACCAGAATAGAGGAGGGGGAGCAACAGGCCACTGCTATTTTTGCAAAGTCATATGTTTACAGTTGAGAAGGGAATTAATTATAACTATTCCTTTATGTGTAGCTGTGATTCCTTTACAGTAGCCAGTATCTTCAGTTTGAGTTCTTTTTTTTTTTTTGGCTAGGGATTGAACCCAGGGCTTTGGACATGCTAAGTATCCACTGTAACCCTGAGCTATATCCCCACCCCTCAGAAAAAGCCCCTCCTGATTACTATCTCCATGACCCAGAGTGTTTCTCAAATCTTCTCATGATCTGGTCCTACCAGTTTAAGTGGTAGTGATTAGGGCATAGTGGAGGAATTATGCTTCATAGCAGTTTGGGGATGATGTCTTTCTTTCTGGGCTGCACTGAGTAGTGGTGCGTGTGTCCATGTGCTTGCAAACACTCATTTCCTTCTGCTCACTGTGTGGCTGGTGTAGGGAAGCTTTGCTTTATGGCTCTGCATTGCTACTGCATTGGGACTGCAGAAACTTCCAAGTATGCTGAAGCATTCACCCCTGTTTTCAGATGGCCTTGTGCAGTGCCTATTAATCTGGTCACACCCCATACCCACCTGTGCATGGGAAATCAGGGATGGAGGATAATTTGGAAAATAACTATAACAAATATTTGGAAATAACAGTTTGACCTACCTTGATTAAGCCCTCTGTGAGTCAGAGACAGTGTTTCTCTGGTACTGCTTTGGAGTCCTTTGTTGAAATGTTCCCTCCCTCAGTGCAGTTCACTTACTAGTTGATCATTCTCAGTGGGCAATGTCCAAATATGACTGTGTTGGGGTAGGGAAATACAGAAGCACCTCCAACCCCTTGTAACCCCAGTGGGTCTAGGGGAAGAAGGTATCTGGCTTATCTGTGGCTGGGGGCACCTTCAGAACTAAAGATTCATTCCTGTCTCCTCAGGAACCCTCCCTGTATACTGTCAAAGCCATCCTGATTCTGGACAATGATGGAGATCGACTTTTTGCCAAGGTGAGAGTCCCTTTCAGATTTGTTTAGGAGCAGAACAAAAACATTCTAAGGTTTGAATTTTATTTTATTTTTTAGAAAGCTGTCTTTTTGTTTTTTCCCATGCTGGGGATTGAACCCAGGACTGTGTGCATGGTAGACAAGTGCTGTACCACTGAGCTACACCCCTGCCTCTAAGGTCTGACTTTTAAAACTGGGCCTATTAACTCATACTCTTCAATAGTATAATTTAGAAAATTCTTCCATCTTTTCTTTCTTTATGGTGACCTGCCACTGAACTAATCCCCAGCCCAAGGATTCTTCTGTATTATCTAAGCGACTCCAGAGAAAACTTGTGTGTCTTTTCCCATGCTAGAGATTGAACCCTAGGCCGTCACTGACATACCCCCAGCCCTTACTTACTTACTTATTTTGATAGCAAAGTTTTACATTTATTAAAGGCAGGGGAAAACAAAAAACAAAAAACAGGCTTTGCAGAGCAAGTCTGGGCCAAGTAAAAGTAGGAGAAAAAAAGTACACCGTAAAGCATGAGGGTGGGCGGCTGTGAAGAGACATGATAGCCTTTCTTTCTCTCGTTCTCTCTCTTTCTTATTTTGGTTTTCTTGAGACCAAGGTCTCACCATTCAGTCCAGGCTGGTCTTAAACTCACTATGTAGCCCAGGCTGGCCTGGAACTTGTGGCAATCCTCCTGCCTCAGCCTCCTCAAGTGCTGGGACTACAGATATGCGCCACCACACTGGGCTTTACGTTTCCTTTTTTATTTTTGGTACCTGGGATCGAACTCAGGACCTTACACTTGGGAGGCAGCTGGCAGCACCACTGAGCTAAATCCCCAGCCCTAGATTTTCTTTTATCCCTTAGCTCCACTGTTTTCCTACTTGACACCCTCAGTCTTTGACCTCCTTTGTTGCCTGCATCAGAGGAGGGAACAACTTTGGAACCTTAGTTCCTGAACAAAGCAGTATGTAGACATTAGGAGCACCCTGCTGGTGTCCCTCATTCTTGTCCCTTTCCCTCTTTTGTTATCCTGGGTTCTCTCAGGAAATTTCCTACAATTCCAGGATTCTAGCCCTGTGTTTCTAATTGCTGCTGGGTGCAGTGTTTGTAACTTTGGATCTACTGAGAGAGAGAAAGGACACCCCTGTTCTCCTTCCATCTTCTCCCCCTCCTGTAGAAATTTCTTCTGTCCCTGGTGTATTAACTCCGGGCGAGCGCAGCATAAATCAATCAGCAGGTAGAGATTAGTTTAGAATTCACCAGCTGTTCCTTCCTGTAATTGGATGTAACTATGCAGGACACCTTTTGAAACAGTTATCCAGTTACTAAATGCCAGAGCTGTCATAGGTCTTCAGCTGACTGGGACGGATTAGCCCCTAAAGAGCAGAACGATTTAGCAGCCTGCATCTCCGCCCCCTTGCTGGGGAGAGCTTGGGAGTGGGCTCAGAGATGTACTAGGCTGCCCTTGCTTCAAGCTTTCAGCTTGTAGAAAAAGCTGAGATAGGGAGGACCCCAAGACCGGGCTTGCCTTGCTTTGGAGGAGTTTTTCAGTCTTTCCCTGTTTCTCAGCTTCATACCTGAGGCATCGGCTGAGGTATATTCTGTGCTTCTAGTGCTGGTTATTTCCTCTGGAATTGCTGCCTGCCATGGGCAGCTCCTATGCAGCAGTTGTGGGGAACCATTGGTGTTAGGAGAGCTCTCCTAGGATGCAGGCAGGAGCAGAGCTCATCTCCTCGGAGGGCTTTGATAGAATCAGAAATGTGAGGTGGGGTTGCTTATCCCAGGGTCCTTTATGTATTTTTAAAAATTTGATTACTCATTGCCCATTCCCTGCCTCTGCAGTCCTTCCTCCTCCATATCAGTGTTTCTTGCTTGCTTCATGCCTCGAAGGAGAGAAATCAAGATCCCAGGGCAAAACATAGTCACTAATCATTCTGGGTTCCCTGCTGTAATGACCCAACCCTGTCTCCTTTCCCTCTGACCAGTACTATGACGACACCTACCCCAGTGTCAAGGAGCAGAAGGCCTTTGAGAAGAACATTTTCAACAAGACCCATCGGACTGACAGTAGGTCGTTTTCCTTTCACGACTCCCTGTGCTTGGGGGAAACATAGTAGGTAGGGGGTGGCAGCCAGACTGCAGAAAAAGGATAACATGACTCTGCCTCCTTTTTCTTTTTTTCCTCCTCCCTTCATATAATAAACTCTTCAGAAATGTAATGGGGAGGTGAGTGTACCTCACGTGGGAATACCGTGCTAGAAGGTTGGCTGTTAGCTACCTGTCTAGTCCCTGGATTTATGAGCCTCACTTGACAAATTTAACTGCAGCTCTGCTTATTGTACCGCATCCATTAGGGCAGGTAAATGGAAGTCTGTAAAGGTGACCGCTCTGCATTTTCACCTCCGAAGGATCGACTAGTATCCTGTCTCATATACAAGAAGGGAAATATGTGTACCGGGTAGGGATGAGGGAGGGAGGGCTAGAGAAGACACATTTATACTCCCCCAAGTTTATGCTTCCCTTCTCCTACTATCCAAAAAATACATCAACTTTGGTCTTTGGAGGTCATTACAGCCCCAAGAAGCTGGAGGCCAGGAGTTCATGGTAACTCCTTCTATTTTACTTCCTCACTTCCTCATCAGGTTGTTCATTGTTTCCTGCCCCCTTGCAGGTGAAATTGCTCTCTTGGAAGGGCTGACAGTGGTGTATAAAAGCAGTATTGATCTCTATTTCTATGTGATCGGCAGCTCCAGTGAAAATGAGGTGAGAATCCCTACCCCTCTTTGCTGTCTGATTCTGCTTCCTCAGCCACAGGCAGGACACAGCCACCAGTTTGAGTCTTAAGAGAACCACATCTCTCTGGCTTCTGACTAACAAAGGGCTAACAAAGTGGTCAGAGATCCCACTAGGTTCACAAGCATGGCCCTGCAAATGCATCAGCCCAGAAAGAAAGTTTTCTCAGATTTTTTTTTTTAATCTGTATGTAGAAGAATCAATGTTTCATGTGTGTGTGTGTGTTTCTGTGTGTGTGTGACTGGGGATTGATGCCAAGGCCTGTGCACTGAGCTCCATCCCCTACCTTTTTAAAAATATTATTTTGAGGGGCCAGGGATTTGGCTCAGTGGTTCCTCCACTTGCCTTGCAAGTGCAAGGTCCCAAGTTTGATCCCCGGTACCAAAAAATAAAAATATTATTTTGAGACAGGGTTTCTAAGTTGCCTAGTCTAGGCAGTCTTCCTGCCTCAGCCTCCCAGAACATAGGATTATAAGTGCATCACCACACTTGCTTGCATATTGTTTTTTTTTTTTTTTGGTACCAGGGATTGAACTCAGGTCCTTGTTTTGCATATTGTTTTTTAAGATGGATTTCTGAGGTGTGGTCAAGGGAGGGGGCGGGATACTGGCTCCTGCTATGAAGGGCCCATACTTGACTGGGTTTGGGGCAGTTAGCAGACACACTGGTTCATACTGAAGCTGTACAGATGATTGGGTCACTTGATAAGTCATACGGTATGAATGGGACTGTGGGTGTAGTCCTGACTTGCTTCCCGTAGGTGAGGAAAACTATCTCAAGTAGTAGCAACTTCTGTGAGAGCAGATAGGTAAAAATAAGCCTCCAGTAATTTTCAGCAAAAGTAAAAGTTTGAAAGAACCACATTCTACTGAGCTGTTATTATTGCTGTGAGTGCTTTACAATTAGTACATTGTTACTTGAGCCTTGCAGCACTTCTATGAGTTGTAGGCATTAGTACCATTGTTTACTGAGAAGGAAACCAAACCATGAGGAACCATATAAAATTACTTGTATTTGGCCATTGTTAAATCACACAAGTGTCAGTTTCATGTAGTTTAATCTAGTACTATAACTCTCTCAGGGTCACACATGTAGAAATGGGTTAGCTGGGATCCAAGCCCAGCTCTGTCTGACTAAAAGGCCCATTGCTCAGGCGGTGACAGGGTAGTGTAGTGGTAAACCTCATATTGAGCATTTTCCAGGTCCTGGCTTCAATCCCCACCAGCCCCCCCCCCCCCCAAGAAGGAAAAAGGCCATTTCTTTCCACTATTTCTGGTGCCTTCCTCTGCCCTTACATAGTTAACGATTGCTTTTTCTACCTATGACATCAGATGACACACACAGAGTTGGAAAGACCCATAGAGGTCTATGACAGAAAAGTTCTGTTAGAACTTCTGGTCAAAAGAAACCTCAAATTGTGGGATCACGTAGCAGAATTCACTTCTGTGAGAAACTACAGGTCTTCTTCCTGTTTTGCTCTCATTTCCACCGTATGTTTTTGGTCCTGTAATGTATTTTTATGCTTAATGAAATGGACAGTTTTGCTTTTGGGTAGCAGTTTTCAGAGCCTTGAACCTTCTACTTCCTCTGTCTCCCAACAGCTTATGCTTATGGCTGTTCTGAACTGCCTCTTTGACTCCTTGAGCCAGATGCTAAGGTGAGAAGCAAATCTGTTTGTTTGTTTTGAGACACAATCTCACAGTGTATCCCAGGGTGGCCTCCAACTCATGATCTTCCTGCCTCAGCCTCAAATGTTATGATTACAGGCATGCACCACCATGCCAAGCTGAGCAGCCATTCTTTTTTTTTTTTTTGGTACCGGGAATTGAACTTGGGTCCTTGTGCTTGCGCACCAGGCGGTGAAACCACTGAGCTACATCCCCAGCCGCAAGCCATTCTTGATCTTGGTTTGGAGAGAAAGTATTTTTCTGGCCCTCACTATATTCTTCAGGTCCAGAGATTTGTGGGGGATTGGCAGAGACTTGAGAAAGTTGATTAGTTTAAGTAGTTGGGCTTACTGTTTCATTGTAATTTACACTGAGGAGGAAGACTGGATGGGGAGCATGTCCTTCCTGAGGAATAATTCTACTACTTAGGAAGGGGATCTTCCTATTGATCCCCAGTGGCTCTCTCAGAGATGAGTCCCTTCCAGGTGGTTCCTTGGGCTCCATTCTTTGCAGTGGGGAAAGTGCAGTAAGGCAGTGTCCCAGATGAAACATCTCTACCTTGGGAATGGAGGCAACACTCCAGTTTTCCACTCCGGGCCCTTAGTTTTTCCCCCTGTACAGCAGGAAGAATGTACCATTTAGCCTCTTCTCCCTCTCCACCTCCCAACTAGCACTGTTTTTCCACATACAAAGGCAGAAGAGATATAAGATACTTTTTGTTTTGTTTTGTTTTTTGGTACCAGGGATCGAACTCAGGTCCTTGCGCTTGCAGGGCAGGCTGCAGAACCACTGAGCTAAATCCCCGATCCTAAGATACTTTTCCTGAAAACATCCAGGGCTCTCAACATCATTCCCCAGGTAGCTCCCATGTGAGCCCAGTACAGACAGCCATCCCAAGCAGAACAGCAGGCGCTCTCAGCCCCACAAAATCAGCAGGGCTAATGGCTCAGGTTTCCTCAGGAAGGGGATGATTTATTTCTTAGCCAGATGAATGAATAGACTTCATTTCGGGTAATCTAGTGAAAGAGTCAAACTGACGGATGTGACAGGCCACATGCACCAACCACCGGATCTGTGGCTGGTGGCTGCAGGCCCTGACTGTTATTCCCCTTGCTAGGCTTCTTTTCAGGCCCTGAGCAGAGTTGGTGAGGGAGGGGAAGGAGGGAAAGCAGAGAGAGGCTTAGGAGGTTTGTCAGCACTTGCGTGCAGACAGGGTTTGTGTTCAACCTCTCCTCACCTCCCACACCACCAGATTGAGCTTTAGCTCTGTTTATTTCCTTTTTCCCACCCACTCTTGTCTGTTTATAAGCAGTGCCATGCACAACATTGTGGCAGTAGGAAAGAAATGATAGGAAATAATAGCTCTAGATAATCAGCCTGTGAATAATCAGATATTATTTGTAGGGAACAGGGAAAGGGGACGTTACTAGAACCTCTGGAGTGAGTCCTAGTCTCCTGTGAGCCACGGAAGCACAAGGCGAATTAACTTACTACACAGGAAAGGTAGAAAAAATGAAGCTTGGAGAAGAACCTGAGCTTTGGGCCTGATCAGTGCTGCTCTGGGCAGCAAAGACAAAAGGCCCCTCCCCCCCAGCTTGCGCACCTTTTATTCAGTACCTTTTATTCAGTACTTCGGGAAAAACCGTGTAACAGATGAGTGGGAAGTGGCAGAATTCCTAGATCTATAAGGAACTATGCAGATGAAGATTTGGTTCCTCCCAGGATGTCTACCACAGGTGTGGTCTTGCCCTGGAGCATCACAGCATCTCCAATCCTTGAGGTCTCAGTTGTGACCGGAGGCCAAAATGGAATTATGTCATGAAATGCCATAGCTGGCCTGTAGGCAGGAGAATGAGGCCTAATCAAATAATTTTTCCGTAAAATTATGTAGCATTGCTCCTGACAGTTATTGACTGTGCTTTTAAAATTCTCCTTCCTGACATTCCTGATCCTTACTCAGCAGACAAGAATAGGAAGAGGTTTATAGTAGATGAACTAAAAAGTTCTTCACCTATTCACTTCTCTGTCAGGTTGGTAGAAACATTTATTGGTCTGGTTTAGAGTCCCATGTCCAGATAATGTCCTAGGATTTGTTTCACACACAGGCTGATTTTTCTCTTCTTTTGGGGTCTTAGGAAAAATGTAGAAAAGCGAGCTCTGCTGGAGAACATGGAGGGGCTTTTCTTGGCTGTGGATGAAATCGTAGATGGAGGGTGAGTCTCTGACCTGCCTGAATCTGGGCTGGAAAGGTAGGGGTGACTGCTCTGTCATAGGTCAAGTGGACTGAGTGGCTATAAGTCTATCTTCATAATGAGTTGGTCCTTCAGGACAGAGTGAATGATGATCTCTTCTTTGTAGGGTGATCCTGGAGAGTGATCCCCAGCAAGTGGTACACCGAGTGGCATTAAGGGTAAGCAGGAATGCATTTTCCCTGAATCCTCCTCTCTACAAACACCCCCCAGAGTCATACCTGCTGAATGTGTCTAAGGGGCAGGGCTAATGGAATACATCCAACTTTCTCTTTCTCTTCCCATCTTTGTCCCAAAGAAGCCAAGCAGAAGGAACTTAGTTCTGTCCCTAACATGGTGCCTAACATCTCACAGTTTTTGCACAAAGTGGACACTTACTGTATGCATATTGAGTGAATGATGAAATAAAATAAAACTTTCATATTCAGGGTTCTGAAACTAAAGAAACTTGAGGTTGGCCTATTCTCTCTTTGAGGGTGGATCCAATTATCTGAGATAGAGGAGTATCCTTTTCTTTTTTTTTTTGGTACTGGGATCGAACTTGGGTCCTTGCACTTGCACAGCAGGTGGTGAAACCACTGAGCTAAATCCCCGGCCAGGAGTGTCTTTCATATCTTTTAACAGGATAATCTCCATTAGGAAGTGCCTATTGTTCAGAACTTTAATCCTCCTGGGTGCTAGTGATCTCAGAAAGGGGCCTCAGAGTTAACTACAGAAGGATCCAATTTTGTTGGGTAGATCATGGGGTTCAGGCAGAGCCCACCTGCAAATTGTGGGGCTCAAGAGATGTCTGAGCAACACAAATCTCCCTGTTCACAGAATGTCCCAGCTCTGACCTCCACAGAGTGAAGGCTGACAGTGCTGGGTAATGGCAAATCTTCTCCCTTAACTGCCGTGAGCTCCATTTGCATAGTTTAATCTTCTCCTCTAACATATGTCTCTATGTGGCAAGAGAGAGGGTCCCCCCACTGACTCCCCCCTTTCCCTTCTCAGGCTGCTGTTGCAGCAGTTTATTTCTTCAAATTAACATGCTGTCGTTACCCATCAGGCCTTGCGGGATCCATTAAACTACCCCTAGCTCCCCCTCATCCTTTCCCCAGTGATATTGATATTCAGGAAAGGTCTCCCCTGACTAGGGAATCAGGTCTCCCACCCCTGAGTTGAGGGAGTTGAGGATCAGATAACCTGCTGATTACTTGGAATGGAATAAATCTTTTAGGAAGTCCTCCTGCCTTAAAATGTAGCAGGGATGAAATGGCCCTTTTGTGTTCACAGTCCCTTTGGCCAAGTAAAATTGTAGCTATACTGGTTCCTACAAGGGACTGAAAAGTTTAGGGCATCTGCTCTTTCCTTCAGTTTAAAGGACCAGCTTTTCTTCTCCACTACCAGACACCAGTCTAAATGCTTGTCTCCGTGCCACAGGGTGAAGACGTCCCCCTCACTGAGCAGACTGTGTCTCAGGTATGACTTTCTCTTCTGCCTCGGACAGGGTCAGTAAAGAGTCTGGAATGGTAGTCCATCCCAACCTGCCAGGTCAGAATGAAATCAGAGACAGCTGTCCTCCTTGGTCCCCTCGTGTTCCAGGGGCTCTGGCCCATAGCCCAGTACCCCTCACCCCCACTTCCAGCTCCTCAGTTGTCTGAGAGCAGTGGCCGTCAGCCTTGCTCTGTACCCTTCAAACCCTCCCTGCCTGATGCCTCATCCAGTGATTTATTCCCCAGCAGAGGCTTGCCTTAAGCAGATGGTCTGTGTGTATGTGCGTGCATGCGCCTGTGCACATACTCTTATTATTCAAATGAGGGCTAGGCTGGAAATGCGTATTCCAGAATGTGCAGCTTTGCAGGTCATCCTGCTATCTTGACTGCAGATAAACTGTCTACCTGATTCAGGGGGCCAGTGCTTTTACCCACTTGAAATCCTCCCCAAGAAATCTATCTGGATATATAACTAACGCCCTCTTTTTAACCTATTGACTATATCTCTTTGCAGTCCCCCAGTGGATTTGAATTTGGGGTGAATTTCCCACTGACAACCCTCTTAGGGCCTTAGAAAGCTTCCTCCTATTCCTCAACCGTTGGGGATTTTCTATTCCCCGTTCTTCTAAGGACAGGGAAGGCAAGTGAGGGAAGAGAGAACCCTGCTCCCACCCTGTCCCTCAGCAGTACTCCTTCAGTGCTGCCCTTGTCTCTGCAGGTGCTGCAGTCAGCCAAAGAACAGATCAAGTGGTCACTCCTTCGGTGAAGACTCCCCTGTGCCTGGCTCCTGTTCCCTCACAAATCCGCATGTCTGCTGTGACCTCTCATCCAGGCCCCCAGCTGATGCTCTCAGGGTCATCTCGGGATTACAAGGATCCTTAAATCTCCATCCTGTCTGGGGTGGCCCCCTGCCCCCAACACACTTCCCTTCCCTTCTCACTCTTTCTGCTGGGAGGAAAGCTCCTAGCAGATTTAGATACTGGTCAGGGAAACGCCCTCTTCCTTCCTACACTGGATTATGCTCCATGCTCACCTACCCCCATATCTTATCCTCAGCTTCTTTGCCCTTTGCTGTAGCCACACTCCAGATCAAGGCAGGAGAAAGAATGTGCTGAGTGTTTTCCACCCTTTACCTTTACACAGCCGTCATCCCAACAGCCCATATGTCCAGCAGAGAGGGGTGGGAGGTTCTGGGTTCTGTAGATGAGTAGGGGTGGGGACGGGCACTTGCTGGCCTCTGCATCTCTCCTTTCTTCTTGGTGCCTGTCTTCTGCTTTGGAAAGAGAATCAAGGAACAGCTTATAGGAAGGGGATGGAGTGGCAGAAACAGTGATTTAAACGTAGGATAGGGCTTTTAAAACTCATTCTGTACCCGAATCCCGGGATACAACTTCAGAACTGCTGTGGTCTGTGAGTGGTTGTTCTGAGTGTCTGTCTCTTGGTCCGATGTCTTAGCTCTCCACCTTTACTACCTGTGGGATTGTTCCTTGCTTTGTCCTCACTGGGCCCTGGAGCAGAGCCAGTCACTGGAACTAAAACTCCATTCTCATCTTGGGAAGAAGAGTTTCTGCTCAGAACTGGAGAAGAAGGGGGCTGATGCCTTGGACCTTGAGGCTCAGTCCCTCACCTCCTGGAGTGCATTTGTTCCTCTGCCTTGGGTCTCACTTGGCTGCTTTACCCTATCCTCTCTGCCTCAACCTTAGATAAAAAAGCAGTAGATGTGGGCTCTTCCTTTCTCTAGGAGGCTGAGAGAGGTGCCTTTCCTTTGGGACCTGGATTTCCCCAGGAGGACAGACAGTGGAACATCTACTTTCAAGTCTAATCTTTCCCCTTGACTCAAAACTTTCTCCCTACAAAAATGTCTTAGAGGGCCGGGGATTTAGCTCAGTGTTTCCGGCGCCTGCCTTGCAAGTGCAAGGTCCCGAGGTCGATCCCCAGTACCAAAAAGAAAAAAAAGTTTTAGAAAACCCTTCCCATGGGCTGGGGATTTAGCTCAGTGGTTTCGCCACCTGCTGCGCAAGTGCAAGGACCTGAGTTCGATCCCCGGTACCAAAAAAAAAAAAAGAAAAAAGAAAACCCTTCCCAGGACCTTACATTCTGCCCTTTCCACTAACTGCCAGTTCTTCAGCACTGAAGTGGGGCAGACAATGGGATATTTGAGGAGGGACCTTCATGTAAAAGATGTACAGAATTAGGAGTTGGCCCACCTTCCTATACTGCTCTGTGCAGAGGAATAAAACATTTTTGCCAAACTGCCTTTGTGTGATGTTTCTGTACCTCTCTTTTTGGCAGCTACTCCTATTCCTTCAGCCCCCACCCCCATCTTATAATATTACTTGCTACCTCTGAGACTCTCCAGCAACCCCCCCCCCATGCCTAATTTACGGGGCTGTTTGCCTCCTTGGCATCTCTCAGTCCCCTCGCCTGGATATTGGCGCCAGGGTGGGGTGGGGATGGTATTTTTCTCAGTGGGAGTCTCAGGGAACTGAGTTCTCCCACCACCACCCCCAAAGCCAGCTGCCTGCACCCGCCTCAGCCATTAGTAACCCGGAGACGCGCACCTGCGTGGGGGCTCTCCTCCAGCCCCTCTCCCTTCCTGCACCTCCCACTCCTGCTCTGAAACGGCGCTGAGCGGGTTATTTATCGGAGCCAGCACTGCTCCAGAAGGTCAGGACGGTGGTGTAAATAACCTCTTCTCGCCATTTCCACGTCTCTCCAGAGCCTGCTCCCCTCCCCCTCCTCCACCTTTATTCGCACAAATGAATGTGGCTGGGCTGGCGCAGAGCCTGGCCCTGCATCTTAATGGGGCGGTGAGCTCACAAGATGGATTTAGCTGGGGTTTTTATGGTTGCCGCGGCGACAGGAGAATGCTTTGGTTTTCTTTCCCTCTTCCTCTGCAGGATTTTGAGGGGGTAGCGCGAGAAGTCCTCCTCCACTGCAATTTGAAGGGTCTCCTCAGTCACCTCTACTGCTCATGAAATGAGCCTGCAATTCTTGAATTAAGCAAGAGAGATGGAATTAATAGCTCAGATAGGGAAGGATGAAAGAAGGAAGGTAAAGGAATGGGGAGACTCAGCATCAGGACGTGCAGGCTGCAGTTGTCTAGACTGGCTGCTCCTCTGTGGAAACCTGGCTTTAGGCTCAGCAACTGTGGGACACCTGGGCCCAGGAGCCCACTTAGCGGGTGGAAAAGAAAGATGTATGGGTGTACCAGCCCTGCCTGCAGTCCTGCATTGAAAGTTTGAGTACAGGGGGCAGGAGAAGGGCCAGGATCACTTCTGTCTTTGCCCGTTGTAGCTGAGAAAAAGCAGTACCCAATCTTAGCACCCTAACTTCCCTTCTCATCACCCCGCATGGGGAGGGGGCAGTGCTAGAGTTGGGGGCTGGTGATCAGCGGTGGTGTGGAGAGTGGAGTTCTATCTAGCTCTCTAATTTGGAATTCTCGGAACTTCAGTTTCTTCTGCCTTCTGTTTCCCACTAGGAATAGAACTTTGGTGCCCTGACCTACCCAGTCCTCTGGCCAGCAATATTCTTTTTTACTAAGAGCAAACCCATCCTCAGCACCAACTGGAGCAGAGATGGGAAGCAGGATCTGAGGATCTCCCTCCCCTGTCTGGTTGTGGGGCTCTGAATTTCTGTTTGTGAGCTTTTCCCTCTACCCCAGGGACCCTCAGAGGCCCCTCCTCCCCTCTCCCCCTTCTTCCCCTTTGGCTGGGAAAGCGACTACAGCCTGAGCAGTGCCAGACACCTGCCTGCCAGATGTGGTGATTCCCTATTCTCTCCAACACCCCCCCGCCCCCAGCACTGAGCTCAGGCCGAGGGAGCCCCCCACAGGGTGATTTACTGCCACAGCCTCTCCTCCTCAAGTGCCCCGTTAGGCTCCTCTCCCTCCTGGTGCCCAGGCCCCCTTTTTTCCCCACCGTGTCCTGCAGCCGCCTTCCTGGTACAGCCTCTTCCATTCCCACTGCAGGGTGCTGGGCTGGGAACGGGTGGGGCTGGGTGATCGGCCTCTGTTGCACCCATGGGGCAGTACATCAGCAAAAGGGTTGAGGACAGTGGCAGCTAGAGCTGATGTCATTCTCAGAAGAAAAGGAAGACAGGAGGCTGTGGAAGAGGTTAACGAGGAGGGGACCAACACTTTAAGATTGTCTGCAAAGGAGAAAGAGGCCTCTGAGAACCTCTAGATAGCCAAGAGTCCAGGATCGTGGCTGCCTGGCAGACAGTGCATTTTTGTTTCTCAAACTGGGTTTCCAGACCTTGTCTCTGGATCTGTTTCTCAAATGGCTCAGTGGATGCCCTTTAGGCCCTTCCCTTCAGGTCATCCTAAAACACACTCTTAGTGGGAACATTTTTTTTTTTTTTTGGTACGGGGGATCGAACTCGGGACCTTTTGCTTGTGAGGCAGGCGTCGGCACCACTGAGCTAAATCCCTGGCCCCTTAGTGGGAACATTAAATCCTTGCCCTTCTCTCTAGTGTTTTCCCTCCTGTGTCTTTTCTATCAATCTCTCCCTTTCCCTCTCTTCCCTTACTTATGTTATGCTTTGCTCTCTGGTCCACCTCCTGGCCTCCCCCTCCTCTGCTTCAATACCATAGCAAAACAGTATGATCCTTAAGACCTCCCACCAAAGCAGGGACTCATTCCAAGGAGCTGCTTTTCTCTCCCACCCCTTGCAACCTAACTGCTAAATTTTAGGACTCCACTGGGCCAGAACTGGGTTCAGTTCCTGGTGGGACTGAGGTAGGGGCAATGGCTGGAGTGAAGAGGGCAGAGGCAGGAGAGATGGAATCCAAGAAGTGGAAAGGAGGGGTATAAGATGGAACTAGAAACACAATGGGAGAGAAAAAACAACTAAGACAAAGGCAGAGGCTGAGAGTTAGCAGGAAGCTAAAATAAACTGAGAGAAAGAGAAACTGACAGAAAGGCTGGGAGCAGAGAAAAAGAATGGAGAGGTGGAGACAGGAAAGTCACAGCAGAGAAGGCTGCTGGGGAGGGGCCAGGCTAAGGGCAGGCTTGCTCTCCTGGGCTCCCTCATGCTGGCAGGCTGTGTGTGTGCGTGTGGTGTGTTTAGGCACATGTGCACATGGCACATGTATGTGATAGGGTCCCAGGTGGTGGTGATAGAGATGATTCCTACAATATTATTCTCCTATTTCTTCTAGGAGTGCCCCCCACCACCCCACCCCGCGCCAGGCACCTCAAACCAACCTCCCCACCCCTCCCCCCAGCCTCAGAATTCCTGATGCTGGAGGAAGCGTTCTGAGGTACTTCTACTTCTTCTCAGGAATCCTGACTTTCTCAGTTGGAATGCAGGCCTGCTGGAATGTCCAAGATCCATAGAATCAAGAGGCCTATCCCCTCACTGGCCACCCCCAAGCCTGCCCACCAGCTGCTCCAGTCCCTCTTCTACTCCCACTCCCCTTGTAACTTCCCCTCCTCCACAGTGACCCCTCCCCCAGCCTCTGACCCCAGCCTGCCTGGGGCCTGGATCAGAGGGGAGACAAAGACAGGATTTATCACCAGCATAGAGAAGCAGCCAGGGACCAGAGCTGTGGGCAGTGGCTGACCTCCCTGCAATGGGAGGGAATACTAGGCCAGAGGTTGCAAGAGGCTGGAAGTCTGGGGTCCTGTGGATCCTGCTCCCAAAACCAAACTCTTCCTACCTCAGCCTTGCTCTCTCCTTGTTTGTGAAGACTCTGAAAACAGTGAATAGGATGACTTTTAGCCTATGAAAGAAAACCGGAAGGAAGGAAGAAATGAAGTCCATGTTTTGAAGACAGTCTCACTATTCAGTTCAAGCTGGCCTTGAACTCACTATGTTGCCCACCTTGGCCTCCAACTCCTGGTGATCCTCCTGCCTCAGCCTCCCGAGTGCTGGGATTACAGATGTTCACCACCACACCTGGCTGAGGTCCATGTCTTCAGGTTATTCTCTTATGGATGCTGAGGAGAAATCAGGCACCGGTCAATTCAGCTCTAATACTGCAACGAATGGGATACACATGGACTGCTCTCCAATATGGAGAGGGTCTTCTCAAGAGCAGGTCCAGATTACCAATAAGGAGGGAAATAAGGGTCCTGAAAATGAAGAAAGAATTGGCCAAAGGTTGCTAGCTCTAGCCCCTCTGAAAAAAACCTTCCTCCCGGAGATCCCCAACTCCTTCCTAACAAATAAGGAGCAGCTGAGCCCTGCCTTTACAGTAAATACACTATTGGCCTGAAATTGTCTCTACTCAGCAGACAGGGTGTGTGCTGGAGGAGAGGGAATGGTGTGATCCAGGAATTTCCAAGAAACCCAACTATATCTTTTGTGGATGGCTCCCACAGCTTCCCTTGCTACCTACCCCTGGAGCGTCGCCCCCATCCTGCAGCCCCTCCAAAATCTCATTGTGTCAGAGGCCTCCATACACTCAATTCTGAGGTTCCCGCCTTTCCAACCCCTGACACCAAACATCCTACTTCCAGCCTTCATCCTGCCAGCCTACGTGAGAAGTGGGCAGAAGGAAGAGGAAGTGAGGCAACTGGGTGCTTCCAAACTACAATCTCACCACAATCCTCCTAACCCATTTCCATCCAAGTCTAGTGAGGAAGGGCTGGGGTTGGAGCTCAGTGGTGCCATGCTTGCCTGGCAAGTGCAAGTTCTTGAGTTCGATCCCTGGTACCGGAAAAACAAAACAAAAATGTGTGCTGGCTTTGGCAGCACATATACTAAAACTGGTGAGGAAAACTTCTAGTGGTCTCCTCTCAAGCTTCTCTGCAAGCTGAAACCATTCGCTCAATTTCTGAAGAAAAGCCAAAAGTTGGAAATGTTAGTAGTAAGGGGTTATAGATTGGGTGGACAGACTGAGGAGGACAAAAGAATTGGGGAGATAGTTGCTGGGTAAGGAAGAAACAGGAAAAGGGAAAAGAGAGCCTCTCTTTTTTCATTACTCCCCCTTCCCCCAATTGAGGCAGATTTACAGCCTTGGTGGGGGGGCGGTAAGCATAAGGAAGACAGATCTGCAGTTCTGCCCTCTGAGTGTCTGGGTACTTAGCTTTAACTCCCCCATTAGCATCAATCCCCATCTTGCTGCTCATCTGTCTTCTGACATCAGCTCCTTCCCCTCTCTGTAGCCCAGGCTTTCTGACCCTAAGTGCCTCTTAAAGGGCCAGTCTAGACCCTTTTCTCTCTCCCTCCTCCCACTTCAGGCAACAGTCTAGTGTGTGCATGCATGTGTACTGTAGCCATCCTCGCTAAAGCCAGAGTAGAGAGGACATGGTAGGGGTGGGGACTCTTCTCCAGCTCTCTGTTCTCCTTAGACTTCCTTTATATTGTGACCCCCATCTTTGTTCACTACCTACTCAGGCCCAGGACAAGTGCTATGGCTGGGTGAGGGGTTACAGGAGCTGAGAGCAAAGGGATGTGGATCCACAAGCAGATCTTTTCTCCCTCCCTAACTTCCTGGAGGCCCAGAGCAAGGGGTGTCAAGAAGTACTGGCTGTTATGGACAGGTTGAGGTCTGAGGCTCCTAGGAGATGCCTTGAGCCACACATTCTTAGCCTCCTTTCCTAGGGATCTACGCTGTTGGCTGTGAGCAGTGGGAGATTTCAAATTGTCCTCTCTGTATGAGGGAGGAGACAGGCCAGAAAAACCTGGCTCTGAATTTCCTGGCTCCTCTTCCCTACTCCTCAAAAACTGAGCTTAGGGGGCAAAGGGGAAGTAGGCTTCTTCCACTCTGCGGATACTGCAACTGCACTCCAGGGCCTCTGAGAATGCCAGGTTGCTTGGGAAGTTCCTCACCTAGCCGCCTTCAGGCCTTTCTGCTGCAGAGCCCTGCAGGCCTCAGAGGGGCTCTCCAGGATCCTCAAAACCCTTTCCTGATAACTGAAACCCATTCTCCACCCCCAGTGCTCCTCCTCTTGCTCTGGATGAAAGAGAAAGGGTGGGTGGGAGCATTGGGAAAGTGGCCAGGTTAAAAATCGGAGCCCCCGGTTGTACCCCGCAATGACCTCTTATTTATCACCTTCAAATCTCGCTCTCAAAGAAGCATAAATATTCCTAATTCCTGAAGGCCAATCTTGAACTCATAAATTTCACTGCGGAGGTGAGGGAGGGAGGAGTGCGGTACAGGACAAGAGGAGGCTACTGCAGCCCGGAAGAAGCAGGACATTTCCGGGGGGGGGTGCCTCAGGAGGACGGAGAGGAGCCTTTTCTCTCAGTATTTCCTCTGGGGATTGGTCTTTTCTCACTGTACCCTCCTCCCGCGAAACAAAATTAAATAAAAACCAAAATCCGACCTCAGTTCTGGGCTTTCCCATCAGTTCTCTACTGTTCTCCCTCCCTCTTTTCTTGGCTATTACCTTTCAGCTGTCCTTTCCCGCCTCTTTTCCCTCCCTTCCTCCTCTTTTGCACCTTCGCTCCTCTAAAAATTTGCCTTTTAGAGTCATTGTCGGAACAGGAAATTTCCGTCTTACTCGGCCTGGACAACAAAGTCTGACAAGTGCCTCTCAGTACCTCTCTCCCCACTGCAGCCCGCTCGCCCCTTAAACGCGACCTTTCTCAGCCCGGGCCCCTTCCTCTCCCCAGGCCTCTTCTGTCCCCTAGTCTTCCCTTCCTCGGAGCCTTCCTCTTTGTGTAGCTCTTTTGCCCCCTCAGTTTCCCCTTCGCTCTCCCCCTCTTCGGCCTCCTCTCCTCTCCCTAGCCGACCCTGCCGCACCCTCAGACCCCTGCCTCCCCGCGGATGGCGGAGGGGAAGGAGGGGGTGCGGAGCAGGTAAAGAGCGCGCGGCTGCTCAGGGGAGGGGGACGGAAGGGGAGGCGGTGGCGAGGGGAGGGGAGGGGAGGGGCGTCTTCCCTGGGTAGCTGCGCCCCCCCTCCCGGCCGCCGCCGAGCCATAAATCAGGGTCAAGGCGGTTCGGCCAATGGTAGAGAGACTCGTAAATCAGTCTGTCAAGCTCAGCCAATGAGAGGCGGCGCTAAATCAAGTCCTGTCAGCGATCGACCAATGAAAGGCCCTGGGCTGACCATAAATCTGCCTGTAAGAGACAGCAAAAGAGAGAGAGTGTGCAAACGAGCAAGAGCCGCGGGGGCGGGGGACTGGGAGGGGGACCCGACGGGGGCTGGGGACGGGAGAGGCGTAGAGAGGCGCGGGATGGGGAGGGAGACACGAGCTCGAGAGAAAAAGGGTGATAGTGGAGGTACAGGAGATGAAGACAGCCTCCGGGAGAGACGGACAGATGGAGAGAGACAAAGAGAAGCCGCGCGAGATAGCGTCAGGAAGTCAGCGATAGAGCTCGGCTCGGGCGGTAGACGGACGAGATAAAGAGAGACAGACACTGACTCACGTTCGGGAGCACACAGGGCCCCGGGCGTGCATGCTGCCCCAGCGCCACACCACCCGCAAGACCTTGAAGAAAGCCTTGCTTTCCTTCATTTCTTTGCCTGCACTCAGTCCTTTTTCAAAGGGGGGTGAGGGCGGGGCCGTGGAGAAAGAAAGGTTGCTTTCTTGCTATTGTCTGTCTTCTGTAGCCTCAGACTCCAGGGTTTCTTCCTGTGTCCCCTGAGTAGTTTTATCTCCTGGAAATGTCACCTGAGTCTATTTTTTTTTTTTTTTTTTGGTACTGGGGATTGAACTCGGGATCTTGCGCTTGTGAGGCAGGTGGTGGAACCACTGAGCAAAATCCCCAGCCCACCTGAGTCATTTTTTTCAGTGACAGATAATTGGGAAGTCCTTCTTGAGGTCTAACTTCAGTCTTTATTGCTGCACCATTCTACTCTGAGAAAGCTTTTGAATTGCCTTCAAGGAATATGAAAAGTGAACCCTTTTACAACCCTTCCTAGAGGTGTCAGCTTTCAGAATTTTAGAAGGTCTAAATTAAGGACTGCTAGGGATTGCCTGGTCACTGGATCCTAATTTTAGTAAGGCAGCTGTCCTATAGTGGTTAGCCATGTGTGCTGGTAACTGAGGTTAAACTCCCCTCAAATCACGGCCATACAGTTTACTATTCCTTTTGACCTGGGGCAAATGAACCTATTTGTGCTTCAATTTTCTCATCTGTAAGAAAGATTATAATTGATACTTCATGGAAGTGTTAGGAGGATCACACAAAACCATATATTTGCAGGATTAAGAATTGCACTAAGCTTGTGGGAATAGTACACCCTACCATCCCCTTGCCCCTTCATACAGATCATAAAACCTGCTGGGTGTGGTGATACACGCTTGTAATCCCAGCACTCTGGAGGCTGGGGCTTTGAGGCCAGCCTGGGCTACATAGTGAGTTCAAGGCCAGCCTGCACTACATAGCCAGACCCTGTTTTACCCCACCAAAAATAAATAAATAGAAAGAAAAAGAGGGGCTGGGGATTTAGCTCAGTGGTTCTGCCGCCTGCCTCGAAAGCACAAGTTCCCTAGTTCGATCCCTGGTTCAAAAAAAAAAAGAAAGAAAGAAAAAGAAAAAAAAGATCATGAAACCTGAGGCCCAGAGTGGTCCAGAGATAAGCTCCAGTTCATGACAGGCTAATTCTCCGAGTGGATTGGCTGAAACCCTGCTCTACACACTTCAAAGCTGATGATTTTATCTGTGGGAGGAGGACACCTAGAAACTGGTGTTCCAGGTTAGGAGGCAGCATTCCTGGCCTTTGAGAGTGTGTTGCATGTGAAGGTATCAATCTGTCCACTTTGGCTCTGGTTCTTTCTGCCCTTGTTTGGAATCTCTCTAGACTTTGTTCTCTCAATCATCAATTTGAGGGTAGGAAGGATTCAACTCACAGCCAGAGCATTCATTGTCAGGATGGCTCTCACATTCCATCCCCAGGGCCCACCCTGCTCCCTGACACACCTACCACAGATAATGAATATTTCATGAAAAATAAAAGTCCCATTCTTCACTTTTCTCCCTGAGCTTTAGAGGAAAGGGAAGGTGCAGATCCCTGGGTCTCCAACCCCCAGGTCAGGGCAGGGAAGTCCTCTAGACTTGCAGTCTTGCTGGCACTTCCTGTCCTCAACCAGGAAGCCAGAAAGGAAATGCAGAGAACCAGCGTCACCTGGTGGCCACAGGTGCTTTCTAGCAGAGCATTGAGTGTTCCTACAGTGACCTGACATTGGTTATGCTGGAGGGAAAGGAACGGAATGCTTTCCTCCAGCCTGGCCCTTGAGGCTTCTAACCAGAGTCTGCTCTACTTTCATAAGCAAGAGTGGGGTGCTGGGGGGAGGGAATTGGACCAGGTGAATTAGCCTCAAAGGGCGAGACCCTGCCAGGGCAGTTGGAACCCGTGTCTGTCTTTGATTCAGCTAAACTGAGTAATCTGAATTCCGTTTCCCTAGAGCAAGGGGCCCTCATCCACAACCAGCCCTTTTGCACAGGACAAGGGCTAGGGGCTGGACTGACTGGAGTGGGTGTCAAAGCTGGATTACCAATTTTTTTTTTCTTTTTTTTGGTACTGGGGATCAAACTTGGGTCCTTGGGCTTGCAGGGCAGGCAGTGGAACCTCTGAGCTAAATCCCCAGCCCCACCAAATTTTTTTGCAGTGAACAAACTTGTTTGCAGGACTGGGGATTCTGACAACAGTATTTAGGTCAGGTGCCACTTGTGAGAAGTTAAACAAAAAGGCCAGCTAACTGCTTACTTTGTTTTTGCGGTACTGGGGATTGAACCCAGGGCCTTCTCACTGAGCTACATCCCCCGCCCTTTTTAATTATTTTTTTTTTTTGGTACTGGGGATCAAACGCGGGACCTTACACTTGCAAGGCAGGCAACAGAACCACTGAGCTAAATCCCTGGCCCCCTTTTTTAATTTTTATTTTGAAACAGAGTCTTGCTAAATTGCCCAGGCTGGGCTCAAATTTATGGTCGTCCTGCCTCCACCTCCCAGAGTGCTGGGATTGTAGGTATGTGCCACCATGCCTGGCTACCTCACATATTTTATAATCCGGAAATCTTTCAGCTGATGGCTGTGGCCCTGGCCAGTTGGTCTCTACCCTTGCCCTGACCTAGGTTCCCCCAAATCCTCAGCTATTAGGTTCCAGCCCCAATCCCCTGGCCTATTTCCTTTTTTCCTCCGGGACCACACCTGAATATTAAAAGCAGGTAATTTATTTATTAATAAGTGACAGTACTCCTTGGGTGGGCTATAGCTGAAATATTGATCAGAGGATGGAGAAAGTTCATTTGGGGGATGGAGAGGTTGTCTGTGAAAATGTTCACTGGTCTCACTTTTTTTTTTTTTTTTGGTACCAAGGATTGAACTCAGATCCTTGCGCCTGCGCAGCAGGCAGCGAAACCACTGAGCTAAATCCCCGGCCCACTGGTCTCACTTTTACCAACTGTCCTTTGGTTCTGGAGAAGACAGTCCTAGATTCTGCTAATGGGACACAGTTCTAATGGAGCCTACGGAAACTCTGAGGTCCTCGCTTTAAGATGGATCCATATGCTTGGCGGAATTGGCGGTTCATGGCTGCATAGAGCACAGGGTTAATGCAACCATTAAGCCAGGTGAGGTTGGCAGCGAGCATGTGAACAACCCGGGGAGCCCGGACCTTGGCATCCAGAATGTTGAGCAACAAGAAGGGGATATAGCTCAGAGCAAAGCAGAGGAACACAGCAAAACACATTCGGGTCACCTTCCCAAATTCGGATGGAGAGTCCTGAGCTCTCCGGGCTCCTTTAGTTGGCTGGGACTTGGCAGGTCCTTCTGGAGGGCTTTTCTCTGCTGTGTGCTTAGGCACCTTGGTGTTGCCCTGCTCCCTCATTTCTGAGGAGTCCTCTTCCAGGGTCTGAGTAGTGGCAGCACTGACTGGCTCAGAGGAAATCCCGTCACTGGGCCCTCTTGATGCTGGCCTGCTGTCCAGTTCCTTGAAATGACCAGGCATGGCCTCATCTGTCCCTGCCACATGGTTGGAGCGGATGCTTGCCTGCTGCAGCTTATACTGGTCCAGGGCTTTTGCTGCTCGCTTCACCTGGCGATGGATGAGGCAATAGAAGACGCCAACGCTGCTGAGCCCCAGGACAAAGTAGATGCCCATGAGGATGGTAGAATAAGGCCGGCCTTTCAAGCGGTCAAAGCTGCAGGTGCAGACTACAGGTACCAAGACATAAACAGGCCAGAGGGGGGCAAAGCTGGCCACACCCACAACCCAGGTGCCCACCAGTGCCAGCACTATCCCCTTGGCACTGAAAATTTGGGGAAAGAGCTTAGGATGGGCAATGAGGAGGTAGCGACCCAGTGCAATGAGGCAGAGGGTGAGGATGGAGACAGAGTTGAAAGTGAAAAGGAGAAGTCCAAATACCCTGCAGAAAGTGGCACCAGTGCGCCAGTGCAGGTGGAGGTAGGTGTCCACAGAGAAGGGCTGGAGAAAGGTGCAATAGAGCAGATCAGCCAGTGTGAGGTTGGCAATGAGCAGGTTGAAGCGGGTGCGAAGCCTGGGCTGGATGGCCAAGGCCAGCAGGGTGAGCACATTACCCACGGTGCCTGTCACAGCCACCACCACCCCCCAGCCAACGGCAACGTAGCGATAGCTCAGTACAGACTCGTGGTGGCAGGAGAAGGTGCTGTTGGAGGTGTTCCACATGATGGAGGCTGAAGAGACAGGGAGGGGAAGAGGAAGAGGAAATCAGAACCTGGACTTCAGCTTTGATCTCGTGAGCAGCTGTGGGTCTCTGGGTGTCTGGAGCAATGCTACATAATTTTTTTTTTTTTTTTTTTTGGTACTGGGGATCGAACTTGGGGCCTTGCGCTTCGAGGCAGGCGGCGGAACCACTGAGTTAAATCCCCAGCCCTAATGCTACATAGTTTTAGGGAAAAATTATTTATTTTTTTATTTTTAAATTTTTTTTTAGGGAAAAATTATTTGATTAGGCCTAGTTCTCCTGCCTACAGGCCAGCTATGGTATTTTGAGACATAATTCCATTTTGGCCTCTGGTCACAACTGAGACCTCAAGGATCCGAGATGCTGTGATGCTCCAGGGCAAGACCACACCTGTGGGAGACATCCTGGGAGCGACCAAATCTTCACCTGCATAGTTCCTCATTGATCTAGGAATTCTGCTACTCCCATTATCTGTTACATCTGTTTCTCCGGATGTACTGAATAAAAGGTGCAGCAAGCTAGGGGCCTTTTGTCTTTGCTGCCCAGAGCAGCACTGATCAGGCCCAAAGCTCAGCTTCTTCTTCAAGTCTCATTTTTTCCTACCTTTCCTGTGTAGTAAGTTAATTCGCCTCGTGCTGCCGTAGCTCGCAGGAGACTAGGACTCACTGCAGAGGTTCTAGTAACATCCCCTTTCCCTGTTCCCTACATCTGGGCACCTGAATTGCTCCTGGAGGACCTCAGTTCACCAACCTCCCAAACCGCCCTCAGACCTCTTCATCTCAAGGCTCCCAACTCTCTTTGTAGGGTCTCTTAGTCCTTTCCTATTCTCAAAGAGTTCCTCAAATTCCTATCAAAATATCTCTTATCTAAATATGCCTTAAGTCTCTGTCTTCCTCAAACACTAGGCCTCTTCAGTATCCATCCGGATAGTCTCAATAAACCTAGCATCTCCAACTTTTCTAATTCCTTTGCCATTTCCAGTGACTCCTGGAAGTCCCCTTTTTGTATTCAGGGTGCTGCTACAGTTTCCCCTGTTCCTTTCTATTATACATGCATACAGGCCTTGGGTTTTCTGTTTGTTACCACCTGCATGACGAGGAGACCAGGGAAGTAGTATAGCCACCACCAAGGTACTCACCGTAGTCTGTCTCTGGTCTCTCTCCAGTGCGAGAAGTCCAACTCACCCGAAGAGCAGTCCTTTCTAGTGGGCAGTCAGACTTCACGCAGGAAGTAGTCTGGTCTCATATCTTCTATTACACTAGACTAAAAGAATAAGAAACTCCATGGTTACCCAACCACGGCCACTTCCTTCTCCTTCTCTTCCTTCCTTCCTACTCCTTTTTCGTTGACTAGTGAGATCTGGACTTCTCTATTGAAATTCCCCCACTTCTTACTCCAGAGTTGTCTCACTCCTTTTTCCTTCCCAAGACCCAAGCTCTGTTTCTTTCCCCAATTTTTGTGGTGGGACACCTATAAGATCATTGCTGAGGATTGTTGAGACATAGAGACAGCCTCAGATCATCTGGGCCACTTCTCAAGGGACTGAAAGATAAAACCGGGTTCAGGAGCAGCTTGAGGCACCCTAGAAGCCTTGAAATTGTTTTAGATTTTTTTTTTTGGTACCGGGGATTGAACTCGGGTCCTCGTGCTTGCGCAACAGGTGGTGAAACCACTGAGCTAAATCCCCTGTCCTCCTTGTTTTGTTTTAGGGTAGCCCTACCCTTCTTCTCTCCAGGGTTTGCAGATTGCTTAAGTCAGAGGGTGTCACGTGACATTCTAGCACATCTGAGGAACAAAAAAAAAGAAAAACCGAGAGATGGGAAATGAGGCATCAGTTCATTTTCTACAGGGTCTCAGGGTCCTATTCATTCATTCACCCATCATTCATTCATCTGTTCTCCCCACAAATCTCCTCAGAGTGCCTACTACACACCAGATTCTAAATTAGACAATGGGGGTATTAGAAGGTCTGATACAAGGCCTGTACACCGTCTAGTGGGGAAGACAAGTATGTAAGTACGTAAATGCTTAATTGGTCCCTTAAAGTAGGAAGACCAACCCTGGCTTGCCACCTCTTTTTTTCTGTATTTGTGAGACAGAGCCATGCTGTGTCGCCCAAGCTGGCCTCCAACTCCCAGACTCAAATGATCCACCTGCCTCGACCTCCTGAGTAGCTGAGACTAGTGTGTAGTACCCTGCTTAGCTATTTTTTCCATTTTGAAATGGTTACATACCAGGCAATCTAAAAAAAAAAAGTGTAGGGATGTGGTTTAGTATGAAAGCCTTGGGTTCAATCCCCCAAACCACCAGAAACAAAAAAAAAGAAAGAAAAGAGTGAGTTACACATTTTAGAGCTGGCATGGTGGTACATTCTTGTCATCCCAGAACTCTGGGAGGAACTCAGCTTGAGCAATTTAGCGACTTAGTGAAAACTTGTCTCAAAATAAAAAAATAAAAAGTGTGAAGGACCTGGTTTCAATCCCCAGGACCAAAAAACAAAACACACAAAAAACTGTGCCTGGTGGTGCACACCTGTAATCCTGGCTGAGGAAGGAGGACCACCGAGAGTTCAAGGCCAGCCTGGGCTCTGGGCTACATACATAGTGAGACACTGTCTCAATCTGCCCCTGAAAAAAAAAAAAAAAAAGAAAATGTTTACACATTTTGGGCTGGAAGTGTAGTTCAATTCTCTGTGGTAGAATACTTGCCTAGGATACAGGAGACCATGAATTTGATCCCCAGCACCACAAAGAAAAAATAGGTTATATTTTACTTCAAACTCAGGACCTTGTGATTGTGAGGTGGGCAAACCACCTCTGAGCTAAATCCCCAGCCCTAGGTTACATTAATTAATTAATTAATTAATTATCCCTAGGTTACATTTTATTTATTTATTTATTTATTTATTTGTGGTACTGGGGATTCAACTCAGGACCTTGTGCTTGACAGGCAGGTCTGATGCAACTGAGCTACATTCCCAGCCCCCTAGGTTACATTTTAAATGGTTATGTAAGTACCTATGTAATATCTTGAATTTTTTTTTTTTTTTGGTACTGGGGATTGAACTCAGGACCTTGCAATTGCGAGGCAGGTGGTGGAACCACTGAGCTAAATCCCTGGCCCAATATCCTGAATTTTGCTCCTCTATCACACAGTTTAAAATATTTACTATCAGGGGCTGGCGATTTAGCTCAGTGGTTCCACCACCTGCCTCGCAATTGCAAGGTCCTGAGTTTGATCCCTGGTACCAAAAAAAAAAAAATTTACTATCAGGCCCTCTAAGAAAAAAATGTGCTTACCAGTGTGGTAGTGCATGCCTGTAATCCCAGCATTTAGGGGGCTGAGGCAGGAGGATCCCTGAAAATTCAAGGTCAGCCTGGGCTACATAGTGAGTTCAAGGCCAGCCTGAACTATATATGAGACCCTGTCTCAAAAAAAAATATATATATATCAGGGGCTAAGAAAAAAGGAGCAAGCTACTAAGGAGGAGGTCAGGAAAGGATTTACAGGGAAATGCCTGAACTGCATTTTGAATGATGAACAGGAATTTTTCTTAAAGATAGGTAGAAGAGGGGCTGGGGATGTAGCTCAGTGGTGCCACACTTGCCTGGCAAGCAGAAGGTCCTGAGTTAGGTTTGATCTCCAGAACCATAAAAAAAAAAAAAAAAAAAAAAGGATAGGTAGAAGGATATTCTAGATAAAGGGAACAGTGTGCATAAAACACAGAGGGTCCCAGGGATCTCAAGTTCAAGCCCAGCCTAGGCAATTTAGCAAGACTGTCTCCGAATAAAAATGAATGAATGAATGAGTAAGTAAGTAAAAGAATAAATAAGGGGGATGCTGGGAATGTCACTCAGTGCATAGGCTCAGCAAGGAGGATGAGGGAGGAAGCAACAAAGAGCCTGGAAGGCGAGCAAAGGAGGCCCCATGGAGGGACTATGTATCATGCTAAGGAACTGAAAATTTTTCTTTTTTTGGGCAGTGACAGGATTCAACCCAGAACCTCGTGTCTGCTCATCAAGTTCTCTACCACTAAGCTATACACCCAGTACTACCCTCCCCCTTTTTTTTTGGTACGGGGGATCGAACTTGGGTCCTTGTGCTTGCCCAGCAGGCGGCGAAAACACTGAGCTAAATCCCTGGCCCATAAGTGCAAAAATGTTTTTTTTTTTGTACTGGGGATTGAACTTGGGACTTTATGCTTGCAAGGCAGCGCCACCCCCCTTTTAAAACATTTTGACATAGGATATTGCTAAATTGACCAGGCTGGCCTTGAACTTGCTATTTTACTGTCTCAGCCTCCTGAGTAACTGGGATTATAGGAAAGCACCACCATGCCTGGCTAGGAGCTAAAGTTTTAGCAGGAGGCTTTGGGAAGATTTGTGCTCAAATTGCTGTAAGAAGTGGGGTATACAGGCTGGAAGTGAGAGAGGGCAGAAAGAAGCACCTGCTCAGACAAGAGATAGAAAGGGGTTTCGTTAGGGCCAGGCCACCCGTGTCACTGCACAGGGCCCCACACTCAGGAGGGTCTGGTGCTTAGTTTCATGCTCTTCATTTACTGTCTTGAAATTCTTCATATGTTTTGAACACAAGGCCCGGCTTTTTTCATTTTGTGCTGAACCCTACAAAAAATTATGTAGCCAAGTCCTGGGTAGGGTAGTGGTGTGGAAATAGCAAAGAATGATCAGGAGCCCTAGGTCATTAAGTGGTCAATAGGACTTATTTAGCTCGTTGTGGGATGACAGGTTAGGAAGAGCAAGGAAAAAGATGACTCCATTTTCCAGATGGATGCTGATATTCTTAATCAATAAGATAGGGAGGATGGGGGACATGCAGCTCAGTGGTGCAGGGCGTGTTTAGAATGTGTAAGGCCCTGGGTTCCATCCCAGCACCAAAAAAACGAAACAGGGAACACGAGAGGAACAAAGGCCTAAGGAAATGGGTAAATCGAGAGTTCCGTTCTAAACCATCAGGTTGGAGGTGCCTGAGGGGCTGCTGGTGTCCCAGCCTCTCCAGCCACTTCCTCTAGCCCTCTCTAGGTTCCCCCAACCGGTAACCCGGCTCTTTTTCTTCATTCACCCCTCCTTCTGGACAAGCAACCTCCTCGCTGGCTTTTCTTGAGCTAGACTGACTTGAAAAAACTAAAGCAAAAAACCTCTTTGTTGGGTTCCATTTCTGAACCCAAGTGAACCTCCCACCTCCAGCTTCAAAATTGACAAACACTGGGGCCCTATTCCCCATCCTTCCTCTTTTTTTCTTTCTGGTACTGGGGATCAAACACAGGGTTGCTGTATCCATGAGCTATACCTCTAGCCCTTTAAAAAAACTTTTTTTAAAATTTTAATTTTTGAGACAAGGTCTTGCTAACTTACCCCGGCTGGCCTCAAACTTAGAATCCTTGTGCCTTAGCCTCCCTCCTGAGTCGAGAGAATCGGGGACCGCAGGTGTGAGCCACAGCAGCCCACTCTCCTTCCTCTAACCATCATCGTCTCACTTTCCCTCCTCCTGTCTTGGTAAGACTGGAAAGGCAGTAGAGGGAAGTGAAAAGAGGCGAGACGGTCAGGACCAGTCCACAGACATGCTGGGCTTGTGTCTGGGCCTTTTGGTTTGACTTTCTTGCCACCCAGTGAAGCTAGACAAAAGGGGTCACAGGGTCATTGGCTGTTCTTAGATGTATTTCTTAAGCTGAATTCTGAGGTTCAGGAGACCTGCCCCCCTGCACCAGAGGCAGCTAGGTGTGATCCCTGTGTCAGGCCCTTGTGGCAGGATGAGAAAGTTATGTGTTTTAATCTTAGATGTGAGGTCTCAATGAATCTTTAAAAGACTGAAGCCAGAGCTGGGTGGTGGAGCATACCTGTAATCCCAGAACTTTGGAGGCTGAGGCAGGGGAATCTCTGAGTTAAGGCCAGCCTGGGCTACGTAGGGAGAGCCTGTCTCAAAAAACAAAACAAAACAAAACAAACAAACAACTCCCTCCAAAACCAGAACCCCCCCCCCAAGCCTATTTTTTGTTGTTGTTGTTCTGAGACAGGGACTCCTTATGCAGTTCAGGCTGGGCTTGAACTCACTATGTAGCCCAGGCTGGCCTCGAACTCATGGTGGTCCTCCTGCCTCAGCCTCCTGAGTGCTGGGATTACAGGATTACAGGTGTGTGCCACCATGCCTGGCCAGAAGCCTGCTTATTTTGCAGATGGGGAAGCTGAGGTCCTGAGAGTGCAAGGACTGACCCAAGGTCAATATTTATTT